CACGAGCATATAATATTGTGGGAAAAAAACGAAAAACTTACATTCGGGTCTAGGTTGTTTGGATCCATCGCAAAAATTGTTGAATATCTGAAATTTTTCACTTTGAATGTTGAGTTTTATATTTTATAGGATTTGGTAGGAATAGTACAAAAGGTAAATAGTTATGGTAAAAAGGTAAAAAATCATGGTAAAAAAGTGCCTGAATGTTTAATTTGGCCTGCGCATATCATTACCCTTTTGTATAAGTAGTCATGTAGTATTTTTGTTTTTCTGAAAGTTATTTCTTCTTTTGTGAAATTCTAATAACCAAAGCAATTCATTTTCAGTTTATCAATTTGATAAAAAATATTAACTATGTTTTGTTTTTAGTTTCCCCAAACCAATTACCTTTTGCATGTGGAGATGAAAACGTGTTTGACACCACACTAATTACTAGTTATATATATATATATATATAGCATTGTCTGAAAATAATATTATAAATTATTAGTTATATATAGCATTGTCTTAAAATATATTATAAAGGGGTTTTTGTGTATAATTCTCTAACCAAGCATCTTTATTATTCTAAGTTTAGTGCTATATCTTTTTCAAAAATAATCTCATCCCTTTAATATTTATTATAAATAAAGGAATCATTTATGTATATGACAAAATAACCCAAATTCTTAATTGTAACCTCAATTTAATCAATTTTGACCACAAAAATCCAATTTTGACTTTTTTTTTCAAAAAATATTTTTTTGGCTGCTGGACTCCGGCATTGACTTTTCGATTTTTTTTTCTGGTCTGTTTTTTCCGTCGCCGAATTTCGGCGTTTGGCTTTTCTTAAGTTTTTATTATTATTTTTTTTTTACGTCCGCCGCTAAACATTGACCGTAATTGTGCTGTCATTAACGGTAATTATACTGTCACTGACAGTAAATTAACGTACAGTTCATTAACGTAATTGTACTGTCGTTGACAATACATTTATGTAATTGTTTTGCCGTTGACAGTAAATTAACGTAATATTATTATTTTTATTTTTTGTTATTTTTTTTTTATTTGTTTGATTTGTTGACAAGTCAACGTAATTATATTACTTTCGTTGACAGTAAAATAACTGTAAACACAATAATATTACTGTCAACAACATCAATATTATTATTTTTTTGGGTTTTTTGTTTTGTTTGAGTTATTCACGGAGTAACGTAATAATATTTCTGTCTATTATTGTGATATTACTGTAAACACAATAATATTACTGTGGTTGACGTTAATATTACTGTTGTTATAGTAATATTGTTGTCAACCGTCAATATTATTATTTTGTTTGGATATTTTTGTTTGTTTGAGTTATTCACGGAGTAACGTAATAATATTACTGGCTATTATTGTAATATTATTGTGGTTGACAGTAATATTATTGTTGTTATAGTAATATTACTATCACTCACAGTAATATTAATTTTTTTGGCTTTTTATTATGTTTACATTTGTTGAACGGTCAACATAGTAATATTACTCTATCACACAATAATAATGAGTTTTGTTTTGTTAATATTACTGTGCTAGAGATTAATATAGCAATATTATATATTGTGTTAAACTATAGTTTAGTTAATTTTACTGTGTTTAACAGTAATATAGTTAATATTACTGTCAATCACAGTAATATTGTTGATTAAATGGAAAAAAAAAAGTTACAAAAAGAAAGAAAAGAAAAAAAGAATAAAAAAAAAATTTAAAAAAAATCGAAAAAGTCAACGCCGGAGAACGGCGTTGACCGTCGGTCAACGCCGGAAACCGGCAAAAAAATCCGGAAGAAGAAAAAAAAAATTGAAAAGTCAACGCTGAAGACCCGGTCAGTGCCGGAATCCGGCGGAAAAAAATAATTTTGAAAAAAAAAAGTTTTGGGTCAAAATTGAATAATTTGTGAAATTTGGGGTCAAATTGAGGTTAAATTAAGTTTAGGATGAAATTGGAGCATATTAAAGTATGAGGGGTTATTTTAGTCCTTTACAAAAATCTGGACTATGTGTGGACTGATTGGTAAAGGAATTTTTTGTCTGGATCACTTTATGAATAAATACCCATTAATGGACTTATTTGTAATGACCCCATTTAGATAAATAATATTAGCAGAGTTATAGATGAGTTATCAAAATAAGTAGAAAATTTTTGTCGTTAGAATGCGATTAGTAATATATATTCTTCTAACTACCTTAATTGCATTTTTCACCCCAGAATTAACAGTATTCGGCTTTTCCCCCCCTAACAACTTAACATTGGCAAAACCAACCCTTCAAATATACATCTCATCGCAAAATGCACCATACCTCAATTTCTTATGATATTTTAGCCAAAAAGAATCAATATATCGCGATGTTTTATACTTGTGAAGGAATTTTCATTATTCTTTATGTTTTGTTTTCTTAATTTATATTATTTAATTATTTTACTTGTATATATATTTAAAACATAACTGATGATTTATTTTATTGCATCGAAGTAAAAAATGTATATATAATTTCTAATTTTAATTTTCAAAATAATTCAAAATTCTTGATTTCCGTAAAATTAATATTTATAAAAAAAACTTAAAACATAATAAGAATTGTAGGACATTAATATTATTTTTAAATTTCTAGATGATAGAAATTAAATGCATTATTTAGGATAAGGGTTTAAATTCTTATTTTTCAGAAGTTAAAATATCATGATATATCAATTTTTGGACTAAAATCTCATAAGAAATTGATGTAGGGTGCATTGTCTCATGAGAAATATAAATTAAAGGTTTGACTTTGCCAGTTATATATGTTCGGATGCAAAGCACCAATTAGGATTTATTATGGGGTGCAAAACGTAATTCACCCACTTTTTGGGTATAAATAATAATTGTTTTAAAATATAGTTTCTTTAGTAATTTGCCATATTTAAAATCCAGCCCATATCTTCATCTTCAACAAAAAAGAAGAGGGGAAAATAAATGACTAGGGCTTTGCGATCAGACATATATATATATATATATATAGAGAGAGAGAGAGAGAGAGAGAGAGAGAGAGAGAGAGAGGAAAATATCTGAATTGCGGAATCAAAGGAGATGAAGCCGAAAACGAAGAAGCGCAAGTTATTGAAAAAAAGCATTAGGGTTTCAAGATCGGAGCGGAAGAAGTCTTCGGAGGAGAAATCGAAGAAGCGTAGAAAACTTTCAGAGGAGGAGTTGATGGAGAGAACAATGATATACGTATGTCCTTTGTTTTTTTTTTTTTTTCTAACAATCAATTTTGCATCTTCAAATTCTTAATAATAATAATTATTATTATAGGGAGGTACAATTGTCGAATATGACCGAGATGATTCCAGCAGATATTTTCTCGGAGAGGATCTCGAATCTCTTGTCAACCTAGCAATTGATTTTTATAACACAAACAATGTATGTATGTATGTATGTATGTTGTTATTTTTTTCTAATTAATTTTTGTTTTTAGTCCGAAATTTAATGATTAATTGCTTCTTGTATAATTAAGTGCAAGGATTACCGTTTGGTGCACCTGGTAAGAGCAATCTATCACTCTTGCCAGGGTTCTTTGTACTATATGACCATGAAAGCCAAGCTTCCGAACCAAGATGATTCCGATGCCGTAACTTTCGAGGCAAAGGTTTACGAGGGGATCCCAGACACTGTAGTACACTATGTTCGTGTGCTTGATGATGCACCTGCTGCACTTGCACCTCTCGCCGCATAGCTCCTATTTATCGGTAATTTCATTTTTCATTTTTTTTTTCTTAAGTTAATTTCCATGATTCCATCAATTCCTTGATAATGAATTTTCAATATTCATAAGCCTTGATAATGTTCACAATAAATAAATAAATAATAAATACGTCCTTCGATGTACGGGTATCTAAATGCTTTATTGAATCATTATTGCTGGAGAATTATCTATTCAGTAGTTTAGGTGGTATTTAATTTGTTGGACATGTAGTATAATTGAATTTATCAGTGTGCTATTTATTTTCTTATAATTTCTTATGAATTACAACTTCACTAATCTCTTGGACCACTCTTTAGTATCGTTCGAAGTTGATTTATTGATACATTTCTTCCAGAGACAATTGATATATGCATGTTCATATGTTTATACACAACACTAGATAGCAGTTTTGACCGTAAATGCTAAATTTGCAAAAACACTGCTTGTTTTTGAATAAACTTTTGTTGACAATTGAAAATACTACTAGGAATAAAATAAACGAAATGTATATAAATAGCTAAGAACATATATTTCATCATCTGTTTACTGGAGGAAGGCTAGGAAGGCTGTAGCTGTATGTATTTGAGGACACGGACAAAGAATTGTCATTAGATGGTTAAGTTGTAATAAAGCTTGATTAGTTATCGAAAGGCCCGGGGCCCTTTTATAAGCATTTAACGCTTTTTTGGGATTTTTCATTTGCAGGTGATTCCAGCCTCCAGGTTCAGAGCTCGAAAAATGTTAATCTTGATGCGTTTTGTGGTTGTCCAATTTATGTATCTTCTCTTAGAGAAGCTATATATATATGTATGCTTATGGAATATGAATTTGTTCTTCCTTTTAATATATATGTATTTAGAATCTCTGTTTTACTCGTGAATTTTACCAGATTTTATTACAGTTAAGACAACGAAACAACAGATTTGGGATGGGATTATTAGGGCATCTCCTGTCGAGAGGGGGCGGCTCCCCCGGGGCTCCCCCGACCCCTCCCCCGACCCCGACCGATTTCTCGTCCAACCGATCAAGCTTCTTGTACATTTTTTTTCCATCACCACTCTCACCATAATAATAATAATAATAATAATAATAATAATAATAATAATAATAATAATAATAATAATAATTACTATTATTATTATTATTATTATTATTATTATTATTATTATTATTATTATTATTATAATAAAATTACTATTTTAAATTAAAAAGATCGAATTAGATAAAAAAAAATGAGAAACTAAAATAAAAGAAATCAATAAAAAAACAAAAATAAATAAAGAAAAGAAAAAGAAAAAAAAAAGAAACTAAAATAAAATATTAAACAAATTGAAAAAAAAGAGAAAAAGGAAAAATAAATAAAAAAAAGAAACAAACAAACAAGAGAAATTAAAAAGAAAAAAAAAAGAAAGAAAAATGGATGATGGTGTACGTGGAAAGAGAAGAAAAAAAGAAAGGAAAAAAAAAAAAAAAAAAGCAAAATGTGTAGTTACGGAGGGGAGGGGCGCGTGAGAGCCCAGGGCTTATGCCTGGGCTCATTTCACACCCCCAGCCACTCCAGCCTCAACCCCTACCCATTAGACACACCAGCCCTGCCCCACCCCCACCCCTCCCCCACTAGGTAGGAGATGCCCTTAGTGAGAACCCCCTCACTTGAATGGATAAATGAGGATCCCACCCCTTTTTCAATATTAGTGAGGCCCCCTAATTTATTTAATTAAATAAATACTTAAACAAAATTTATACTAATGTTCCTAATTTACCCTTTTTACCAGTTAATATATTATTTCCTCTCTTCACCCAAACCCTAAAAGTCATTCTCTATTATTTCACGATGTAAAAGAAAATATGGCTACGGCGGTGCAGGCGGGGGCGCCACCAAAACAAGGACGGACTGCGGCTTTTTCCATCTCCCCCTTTTCCTTTATAAGGTGAGTGCAGATTTGTTGGTGATTGTTTTTTTTTTCCTTCATTTTTTGGAAGCATTCTTATAATCCTCGTCGGAAAACTGCCTTCACAAGCACTGTAATTCAATCAATCGACCCCGAGGAGGATAAAGAAACCTTGGGCTGCATCTTTATGGAGAATCGCGACCGCAGACGTCGTTAACAAAAGCTTTGTTCGTTCTATGGGAGACGCTTCATTTTTTTTGGGTAATGGCTAATTCTACTCTACCTCCACCCTCGTCTCCATCGCCGGATCTGGTGACATCGTTCTGCTCCGCCGCAGTCATCATTTTAAATTTATTTTTCCGAAATTGTGTTTTGTTGTTGGGTATCTTTTGTAGCAATATAGTTGTTTTCGTTATTATGCTATTTTGTATATATTTTTTTCGTTATTATGCTATTCTTTTAGTTTTTTTCGATAGTTTTTAGTTGTTTTCGACATTTTTAGTTGATTTTAGATGCAATCGATTTAAGAATATGACTTAAGGTTAGAATAGCAGACTCATTTTAGGTTTGAGATGTAATCTTCGTTGTGATTATGCAATTGAATTTAGTGTAATTCAGGTTGCTCGATTCATAATGTGATTTAAGTTTTATGTTTAGAGTTGATTTGGAGTTTTCTTTTCATTTCTCTTTTTCGGTAAAATTTCGATTATTGTCGTTTCCTTGATGTAATTTTGCGTGCGTATGCAGGGCATTGCCAATGCTGTCAGGCCCTCAACAAGACGTAGTAGAACAACAAGAAAATATTGGATCTTTTTGCATAGCGGTTTTGTTGGATTTTATAGTAGATTGCGCTTGAAGTGGGTCATGTTTTGTAGTTGTTTTCGATACATTTAGTCGTTTTCGATAATTTTTTAGTAGATTTAGTTGATTATGTTTTTGATAAGCCTATAATTGTAAGCAACTATTTTTTGTAAACAACTATTTTATGTCTTAGAGTTTTCATATAGTTTATTTTGGAGAAACCAACAAAAAAATAGTTGTTTTCAGTAATTTTGTAGTTAATTATGGAAAAAAAATTGAAAAAAACTAAATATTTAAATAAAAAAAATGAAATTATAGTTGATTTTGGAAATATTGTAGTTGTTTTCGAAATTTTTTGTAGTTGATTATGAAAAAAAAAAATGTAAAAAATATGAAGAAAAAAAATTATAATTTTTTTAATTAAAATTTATTATAATTATGATTATGTTTAAATAAAAAAAAACGAAAATTAAAATTATATGAAAAAATAAATGAAAAGTAAATGGGTCATGTGTAGACAATAATGGTAAAGGTAAATGTGGAACAAAGAAAAAGATGGGTCTAGCACTAATAAGGAAAAAATGACTGGATCCAAATCTAGAAGACGGAACTCGATCTAACGAATTTCTGGCGCCACAAAATCTTCGTATCGCCTGATCACTGCGTTCGCCGCCGAGCGTCTACACGTGCCGTCGTCGTCGGCTGATGCTGAACTTGAATTGGGCAAATTGGAATTTTCTAGAGCGAGTAAACTTCTGGCGTTACAGGATGAGATCATCTAGTAGAATTATGGCTGATATTGGTTGCGATTTCGATTCTGCCGAGATTTCCTCGCCGCCACCGGCCGGCATATCTGCCGGTAAAAAGGAAGCAAGAGAAAAACGGTGCAAAATGTGGCGTTCAGGAGGAAGTGATCAATTTAATTAATTTTATTGAATTATTTTGAAGACTGTTTTGGTTTGGATTTGACAATATTTAATATTTATTACCTGAAAATAGTTAATGTATTGACTCCTCAGTCAACATAATAGTTGGCCCATCTAGGGGTGGTAAACGAGACGAGCCGGTGGCAAAGAGGATTTAAAGTGTAATATCCTAGGTAATTATAAATGGAAAATGGCATAAATGGACATGACGAGAGACTTAAATGCACATTGGTTCTAAAAAAAACAGCTTTAAAATAAACTTATTTCCATGTCTTTAGTCGAAAATACCCGGCATAATATATTTTTTATCAATTCCATCCATTATATTCTAACTTTCTCAATATTACACATTGACCCCGGATTTAAACAAATATATCACATTAACCCCCACTTTAATATTTTTTTGAAAAATAATTTTTTTTTTAGAAAATAATTTTTTTTCTGAATTTTTATTCCAGCTAGATTCCAGCGTTGTCTTTTTTTTTTTTAATTAATATTAGTGTCTTGGCGGCTAAATTACTGTCTTTGAGAGTAATATTACTGTTGGGGCAGTAATATTATGAATATTAATTTCCCGAACACTATTATTATTGTCCCAAACAATAATATTATTGCATGAGACAATAATATTACGGTCAGATATAGCAAAATTGCAGGCCAAGACGATAAAATTAATCAATAAACTAAAATAATTGTCTCAGACAGTAATATAATTGTCTCAGACAGTTAAATTGCTGTTGGAGACAGTACTTTAGAAGCCAAAGACAGTAATATTAATTAAAATCATTTTTTTAAGAAAAAACAAATTTGAAAAAAAGAAAGTCAATTAACAGTTATATTACTGTCTCCAAGAGTTAAATTACTGTTGGAGATAGTAATTTATCAGTCAAAACACTAATATTAATTAAAATAACTTTTTTTAAGGAAAAAAAAGTCAATTAGCAGTTAAATTACTGTTAGAGACAGTAATTTAGCAGTCAAGACAGTAGTATTAATTAAAATATTTTTTTAAGAAAAAAAAAATCAACGCTGGAGAGCCGACAGTTGACCAACTGGAAAAAAAAAATTCCAAAACAAAAAAAAGTCAACGCCGAAGACCTCCGATCTCCGGCGGTCAACGACGGCTGAGCGGCAGTCTCTAGTGGTGGCGGGTCAAAATTGGAATGAGAGTCAAAATTGATTAATTTGTGAAATTGAGCTAAATTGGGTTGTAAATCATGAAATTGGAATTGAATTGAGTTTCAAGGAATTGAGAGTAATTTTCGTATATATAAAAGGGGCTATAATTAGTAGACATGGCCGCGGGGCATGGCGGGTCGTGTCCGGGTCCGGGTCCGACTTTTAGGGGACCCGAAACCGACCCGTGGGGAGGCGGGTTTGGGTCTGGGGCGGGTCCACCAAGGTCCATCCGGGTCCAACCCGGTTTTCATTTTTTTTTTTTTTGTGTTTTTTTTCCCAAATAATTACAAGAAAGAAAAAAACAATTTAAATTGAAACTTGAAAAAAATTGAGATTAACTTTAAATTCAAAATTACAAAAAAAAATAAAAAAATTAAATACTAAACAATTTTAGAAAAAAAACAAAACGATTAAGACCTTGAGACATAAACTAAATAAAATGAAAGTTGTGAAGATCGGATTAGGGGTATTTATAAGTGAAAATACTAATTGAGAAATTTTTCAAATTTCAAAATTTAAAAAAAAGCAAAATTCAATCTCTTTTAAATTAAATTTTAATTTTTTATATTTTTCAGAATTAAATATATATGCATTTGTTATTAGTAATTTTTTTTAATATTAATAATAGTGAACATGACAATTAATAATTTAGTAACCATTGTTTATATAATTATTATAATCAATTTACAGTGTTATTTATATTTATATATTTATAGGTAAGATTAGTATTATGATAAGTAACTTTGCCCGAATAGTTAGTATTCTACTAATCCACTCGGTTCCAACCCCAAAATTCGTATTTTTTGAGATTATTTCACTGAAAATGCGGGTGGACCCAACGGGTCCATGGTCAACGGGGCGGGGCCGGGGCGGGGCGATCTTCGGGTCCGGGCAGGGTCTGGGTCAAAACCTGGCTCGTGGCCGTGTCTAGCTATTAGTGAGAACCCTTCCTTTATAAGTGAGAGACCCATCTTATTTTTATTCTCAAATTTACCCTCCCACTATTGACTACCCATTATCCACTAGTTTGATGTATTTTTTAATTTTAATTTTCGTTTATTTATTTATTTCTTCTTTAAAAAATAATAATTTTCTTTTAAAAAAATATTTTTTTAATTTTTTAATATTTTTCTTTAAATATTCCTTCTCTATATTTGTTTTTAGTTTTTAGTTAAAACAGCTATATGTTAATAAAAAAAACTATTATTAAAACAATTGGTATTAAAATAATGATACATCAGTTTCACAATTTATTAAATTAATTATATATTATATTATTTCTATTGTAAGATTAAGTAATTATTTAATCAAAATATCTCCTAAACAACTATTTGCTAAATCAACTATTTATTCAAACCAACTAAAAAGTAATGAAAACAATAATATTGTTGTGCGAAAACAACTATATTGCTATACGAAAACAACTATATTGAATCAACTATAAATTATTGAAATCAACAAAAACAAAAGCAATAACACACACCAAATTCCAACAAAAACGACTATTATTGAAACCAACTACAACCGTAACGAAAACAACTATATCTTTTTGAGTAACACGAACACAATTTCAACAAACGAGCCTCCCAAACAATACCTCCTCCTCGAGGTCAATCTATTCCATTACAGCGGTGGTGGAGGCAGTCTTCCGACGAGAATTGCAGGAATGCTTCCAAAAACTAAAAAACAAAAAAAAAATACAAAAAAAATACCAGCAGATCTGCTCATCCCTCGGAAAGGAAGGGGGGGGGGGGGGGGGACCGGAAAGGCGGCTGTCCGTCCTAGATTTGGCGGCGGCGCCTTGTCGTTGTCGAGATATGGTGCTGGCTTCGTCCTCTCCTTGCCCCCGCCACCGCCGCCGTCGGATTCCCAATTCGAGAAAGAAGAGAAGGGGGTCTTCCTCGTCGTTATTGAGATGTAGCGCCGCCTTCACCGCCGCCGCCATCGCAGCAGATACTACTGAATTTCAGTTCCAGAAAAGAAGAGAAAATGTGATGGGGATTAGAGAACGCCGGTTTGTTGCAGACAATGTGGCTAGGGTTTGTAAAATATAAGATTTGGTAGGGATAATATAGGTATAACACTTAATAATTGTATTAATATTAATTTAAATAAATAATTAAGGGGGTTCCCACTAATAATGAAAAGGAGGTTATATCCACCTTGATATAAGTACATGAGTTTGGGTGTTTTCACTAATTATCCCATATATAAAAGGATTTTCCTTATTTGCAAATATTTTTGAATGAGTTGAAAATATTTGAAAGACAAAAAAGTTAGATGTCCCTTTGTTAATTAAGTGCCATTGTCATGGGCCTCTTTGACATTAACCCAATTATAAAATCGCTTTTTTACATATATCTTCCTATTATAAAATCTACAATATTTCTACTCAATAAAAGATGTATCATTTTTTTATTGCATTTAATGTTTTTTATATTATTGCCATATTTATTTGATTGTTTCTTTTTTCATCATTCAGACAAGTATATAAACCCCACCGAATTCACTTTATTCCACCATCATTTTCCATTCAAACAAAAACATATGGAATTGTGCCTTTTGTTTTGATTCAATCGGTTCTTTGAAATTATGTTTTCTTGATTTTTTTTCTTTTCATTATGTTATTTAGTTCTTTCGTTTTTATTGATAATTTTTCTTTCGTTTTTATTGAATTCTCCGGACGCCGAACACCGGACCTTGCGTTCGGTTTGGACGTGGATCGGGCTTTTTCGCGCGCAGTTTAGTCGTGAAACGTATTTTTGGGCGTCCAAATTGGTCGTGAGTCGCGTTTTCGCGATTTAAAGAACAAAAACGAATAAATTTTACCTCGTTGGATTCCGTATCTCGATCCTCATTCGATGCACTCATTTTTTTTTGCAAATGGCAACAATAACATGGGTTTTTGAATGATTTCTAATATAAAACATAAAATTGTAGAGAGAGAAAGAAAGATAGAGAGAGAATTTTTAATACCCGCATTCGTAATTTTGCTACCGCAAATATCACCTCCCTTTTAAATAAAAGCTCGAATATGAAAAAAAATAAAAAATGAAAATCAATAAAAAATCACTAATTGAAACTTCAGATAAAAACAAAACAATTACCCTAACCCTTGTTCGCTAGAACACACTAGATTCTTTCTTCGGAGGGAAACGAAAAAAAAAAGAAAAAAAGAAAAGGAAAAGGAAAACGCACGAACTCAGATTCACCTTCTCAATCGCCTCCCCCATTAACGGGCGCCCGCCCTTCATTCATCCATTTTCATTCATCTGTTGTATGCTATTCCGGGTTGTTCGTTCATGCTATTTGAAGTAAACTATAAATTAAAGGCAATAAGGTCAGCTTTTTTAATATTTTTTTTCCTTTTTCCCCCTTGTTTGGAATTTTTTTTACTCAAATTTACAATCTCGTTATGCCCTAAGTTCGTGTTTGAGTTATTCAATTGAAGTAAGTACGGACATTTGAAAATGAAAATGTATTCAATTGAGTGGATGGTTTTGTTGATATGTTTGGAGAAATGTTTTTTTTTTTTTTTTTTTTTTTAAATTTATATGTTTGTTGTTGCTGGTTATTCTATTGTTTTATCAGTTAAGGCTTGTTCGAACACAAAAGTAATTGAATTTTGAGTTTTCCAGCTTATTGGTTATTGTTTACTGTGTTTTATGGGTGTAAACAGTATTCATATTTGGATGGGCTGTGTTTGAATTGGATATGAGTATTTTTATTTTAATTTTAAGGCCTCCAATTCCTTTTGTTGAAGGTTATAATAGCTAGTTTGGAAAGTACGGACTATTTGTTGCGTATTGGCGAAATTATTTTCAATTTATAGTTGGTTTAATTCGTTTGATGAGAATTGAATGACAAGAATTTTGATGAAAAGAAAGAAGACTGAAGAATTGCATACCCTCCATTAAATTCAAGTGAAATAGATAATACTAACTCAGTGACCTTCTTATGATACAGGTCTGCATTTCTCAGTTAACAAGTTCCGATGTATGCAAGGACAATAAAATATAGAAATCAAAGATGGAATTCTGTTGTTCAGCATAGCAAATATTCTTTTAGTTCCAGTTGTCGCGATTATTCTGCTGGACAATATTTGAGCCGTGCACCAAGAGCCAGTAGTTTGGCTGAGAGATATCTGTCAAATTCTTCGTTATTATTAGGTCAATCTTCTGAAAGAGGGTCCACAAGATTGAATTGGAAGTCGGATATTTGTTGGAGAAATTGTCATATAAGATATTACAGCTCTGAAGGTGATGGAAGGAACGCAAGTGAGGATAATCGTATCCCTAACAAAGAGAAGATTCATAAGGAAAATACAACCGACAGTGCAAGGCAATGTGACGCACATGCTTTGCTTGGGGAGCAAGATCAAATTGAGTGGCTAAAGAATGAAAAGCTTTCTATAGAGAATAAAAAAAAGGAGTCCCCTTTTCTAACTCGACGTGAAAGATTTAAAAATGAGTTCTTGCGAAGGATTGTTCCGTGCGAAAAAATGACAGTCTCATGGGATACTTTTCCATACTATCTTCAGTATGTGTTATCTCACTTTTGATTTTGCTTCTTTTCACCTGATAGTTACTTCTTGGGACTGAAAGTTGTTATTCTTGCAGTGAACACACTAAAAACCTTCTTCTGGAATGTACAGCCTCCCATTTGAAGCATAACAAGTTCACCACAGACTACGGACGCAGTTTGACCTCTTCAAGTGGGAGAATTCTGCTTCAAAGCATTCCAGGTAAGCTCTTCACTTACCCTTGTCCATATTCTTTCCCCACCTGCTGAGTGAAAGTATTTATTTGATGATATATGTTTTTCTCATTTGGTTTGAAGGTACGGAGCTATATCGTGAAAGACTGGTCAGAGCACTTGCTAAGGATTTACAAGTTCCACTAATGATGCTTGATGGCAGCATTTTAGCTCCATATGTAAGTTTATAGTTTCATTTTCTTCCTGTAATGGGATCCATCCTTAAGATTTTTCCAGTTCTTCTTTGGCTTATGATGAAAATTAAAATTCTGTAGCCAGAAATGTAAGACCAACATTTTGCATCAGCAGATAATATGTTTTAAAACCCATCGTCAAGAATATGTCCCTCCCCTTTATGTCTGCATGATGAGTCCAATATCTTTATTTTCGTGTTTATGTTCATCTTGTTTTCTTGGTCACAAGAATGATCCAGATAAACTTTAAGATGTCCTCTCTGTTGCATTAAAATCTTCATATGCCATTCTGCTGTTGACTTTTCAGGATTTTAGTGAAGATGAAAGTGAATCAGATGAGGAAAACTCTGAAGGTACATCAGATTCTGAAGTTGAGGATGAAAATGGTGCAAGTAATGAGGAAGATTATACCAGCAGCGGTGAGGCAAGAACGGATGGTAGTGATGACGAAATTGATATTAATGCCTCTGCGGAAGCTTTGAGAAAGCTATTACCATGCAATATAGAAGACTTTGAGAAGGTAATGGTTTTCTGTTAAGTTTCAAATTGTTATTATTCCTGGCCCATAAGGAGAGTCAAAGACGGAAAATGGAAGACATTGTGCATACATCATCCAGAGCATAAATCTTTTGAACTCAACGAGCTCATCTTTGTGTAAACCACGTACTCAAGACACAAACATCTATGCCTGTTGTCAGAACTTAGGGACTTTAATTGTATATAATCAAATAGGAAGTGACAGAGAACCTCTTCATTTACCTGAAGTTGTTGAATATAATCAAGATGTTTTCAGCGGATTTTCTCTGTGGGAGGCGTATGGGAGTTACTATAATGAGCTAGAAACTAGATATTTTTTTAATGGTTTCTGATTTCTATTGAACAGAGTGTTTCTGGAGAATCTGAATGCTCCTCCACATCTTCGACATCAGAAACTGCTGAACCATCTGACAATGCTAATCATCCACTAAAGAAAGGTAACACCCTTTGGGTACTGTTGCAAAAAAATAAATTTTAACTTTGCTGTCATATTGAAATGTGTAAGATTTTTAGAGAAAAGTTGTCTCTTGATCTCTTTCTAATGATATGCTGAAGTTGTAATGTCCTTTGTTGTACCCACATAATTCACCAAACAACTTCACCCTTCCGTTTCCATCAGGTAAATTAGTTTCATTAATAAAACCTTGTTACAAAGAACCTGAATTCATATGTGAAATCTCAGCTCAAGAACACATGTCTTTATCGTGAATATTACGGCTAGCCTTTATCGTGAATATTACTGCTAGACCCAATTCAATCACAATTTTCCTTGAAATTGATCACATTCTAGGCGAGCTATGCATTAAAACGCAAGTGAAATCTTGACATGTGATTAGATAGGCTTCGTCAAACTGGAAAAGTACAATTTTGTTTTAAAATATTTGATGTTTCAAATAAAATTGCCATTGCAATAAATTAATTGTTTTTCTGTCTTTGTGAAATAAGTAGAATTTTAACCATATAATTTTTTATTTGGTTGATGTCACGTATTTCTGTTACCAGGGGATCGAGTTAAGTACATTGGACCATCCATTAACGTGAGAGCCAATAAAAAGTGAGTGTCTTTTACATAATATTTCATTTTTGTTAATTAATTTGTCATTTAGTCCTTTCTTTCTTATGTACGTGAATAATGGGAATATTTGATTGCTTGAAACCATTTGATTGAGTATGTGCTGACAACATGGTGTCATTTCTCTGAGCAATATATTTCTACTTTCCAAATGAAGCAGATTTTCATTCGTGTTCCTTTTGGACATGTTATTGGTTCGTACATGTTTGATTGCCATCCTGCGTATACAAAGTTGTTTGCTAAGATAATTAATTGTCTGGATAGTTTATTTGCCAAGTTTCCTTATCGCAATTAATGATGTATGAGTTATCCGTGATGTCGCCAATGCAAATTCAAATATGAGAGTTTGAAAATTCCATTGTTCCCCTTACCATGCCACTATTTAACAAGTGGGATTTTTCTTGTGGTATTGCTCCATGATGAATTGGTTCTGTTGTATTCTACTGATTTTTCTCTCTTATACTGCTTGTGATAGAGATAATCCATTTTAGTGGTTAAGAAGTTGAAGGGCAAGAATCATGTAGATATGAGTAACTTTCCATGCAGAACCCAACATGAGGAAGACAAGGAGCACATTGCACTATCATTGAACTTTTTTAGCCATCTATTATTATGAGAGCCATTAAGGTTCTGATGGATGACCTCCTCTAACTACCTAGTACATAGAGGCTTCATTTTGAGAAAATATGCTGATTGGTTATGAAAAGATGCTTCCTCCTAAAGGAATAATGGATAAGTGGATTAAAACAGATGAATATAGTTGATCACCTGAGGGTGTAATCAGGAAGAAGAAAAAGTTTCAAGAGTTTCTCTATTAAGAAGGAACTATGTTTATTTTATATATAGTTTCTCTCATAGTCGAACAAAGCTCTAACACACGAACACAGCCTACTGAAGATATATTTTTTGAACTTTCATTCTCATAGAATTTCTTCGAAAGTAACGGCTACGGGGTATGAGTTATGACTAATGTTTTTTTTAATGGGGCATGATGCCATGATTTTATTCTTTTTACAATTTTTAAATATACCTTTATATTTTTTACAATTTACAAATATGCCCCTAAAATTGTAATATTTACGCGTATGCGGATCCTAGTTTTTTGGAAATGCCGTATTTGTGTCCGCATTTCCGTGTCCGTGCTACATAGGGTTACACATTCACATTTATCCTTTTCGGGCATTGAAATATATTCGATCCAGATTCATGACTACAAGGAAATCAGGGATCTTTATTATACTTTTTGTCTCTTCTTTCCCTTTGTGGGTGTGAGTGTGGGTTTGGGTGTTGGTGTGGGTGTGGGTGGGGTTGCCATGGGCGGCATTCCTCGTTTATATTACAACTCCCTCAGAAGAGCACATTGGCCTGATCTTTGAACTTGTCTACACCTGATCATTGACATATCCCATTCGTCACAGGATTGTATTGGGGAAGATTCCGACATCTGATGGTCCAACAAATGCTTATACTGTTTTTCGTGGCAGGTGGGTTGGTAAGTTTATGCATGTAGGGATGCTAATAATTGTTTTTGGGGTGTTGTGCTTGGCAATGGAGTCATCCAGCATTGTCTTAGATAAGATTCTAAACTGAATTCTCAAGAACGTAAATGTATAAACAACTATGGTTATATTTTTATATTTTATTTTTGTAGCATGAAGTTTACCTTTTCATGGGGTTTGCTAATGTAGGCTGCTTTAATCAATCTTTCTGTATCGTGACTTGCCCTTTTCGGTTTAGTTAGCTATCTTGTGGCTTTTAGCTGCTTACTCTATGCATTTCGAATTTTCGTGTTGATTGAGATACACTCTTCTGTTCTTCATGTGTATGCATTTGCTGATATATTCTGGATTCCTGTATCCTTGCAAATTTGTTTAGATTATGAGCAGTCTAATATATATACACTATCTTTTCAGGAGTTTGTCTAGTGGCCAACGAGGGGAGGTGTATGAAGTGAATGGCGACCAAGTAGCTGTTATCTTTGAAATTAATGGCAAGATAACCGAGGAAGTAAAGGACGAGAAAAGTGTTGAACCGACGGCTGAACCGTCAGTTTGTTGGCTTTCTGGTACAAATTACTAAGTGAATAAATGCATTCTTCTTTTGTTATTATATACCAATCTACCTTCTACTCCACTCTAATTGGGTTGATAAGTTTTTACTCTGCCTGGAGGTTTCATTGCTCAACCCCTTTCTTTTTTATTTTATTAAAAGGGTAGTTGCAATGACCTACATCAGAGAAACACATGGTTTCTAGATGTTCTTTGTTATTTGTGGTTCAACTATGCTTTGCTCTTGTAGAAGCGTGGAAAAGGAGGCCTCTTCTGTCTTTATGTGTTACTAATATTGTAGTTCAGTTTTATATGATGGTTGTAAATGGTGCGTAGAAGGCACTTTGTGAAACCTATTGGTTCTGATGCTGTGCCTAAAAACTCTTAGCTGGTTTTGCTGTGAGCATTTTGCTAATCAATTTTGGAGTTGTACTTGAAGTTCAGTTTTTAATTATATGTAAAATGGGAAAATGTGAGGATGTTTCACTGCCAGCCACATTCGGTAAGTTGTGATTAATAATGTTTGTAGAACTTGAATAGTGAAAAGTAATTGTGGGATGTACTCATCTAACGGCAAAAAAACTTGATTGTAATTGGAACACGGAAATGGAAAATTAGTACTTGAAATGCAGAAATGCAATCATAGGTTTTCTCCTCCAGAACTATCTTGAAGTTTGTGGCACTGAGTACTTGTATGTCCATAACTATCTTGAAGTTTGTGGCACTGAGTACATCTATGTTTTCATATTTCTTGGTACAGAAAATAGATGCTGAGATTTATTTTGGGTGGACATTATCTTTTGTTTGTTCTTCGTTGTTTTCCTGTTCTTCTATGAGACGACATAAAGGCATGTTTTATAAACTACCTTAAAAGATTCCCCTTTGTCTAGAAAGTTATTCATGGGCTCTACGTTTTATCTCTACCTATTTTTGATTTTTGTTCGAGCAATCTTAATTGTTTGGACCTTCTCTATTGCCACAATGAATTTGTAGTAAAGAACTTTAGGAAGCTGTATCTCAACCTAGTATGATTTTCTATGCTACTAGTTTCATCTCTTAGGCCTGTATATTTTTTTTGTGAAGGTTGAATCATTCATAAACAATGAAAATCCTGACTATAAACTGCCTTCTTTGTCATCTACAATTGCAGTAAAGGATATTGAATACGATCATGATGCTCAAACTCACGACTGTTATGTTGCGATGGAAGTGCTTTGCGAGGTACTGATAGCATATAAGTATGATATGAGTATATTAATGAACATTTTCATGTATGGGTTTTTGTTTTTCTGCTGTTACACTTTCCCATGATGATTGCAGGTTTTGGAGTCTCAACAACCACTCATGGTTTATTTTCCAGATTCTTGTCAGTGGCTATCAAAGGCAGTTTCAAAGTCAGACAGGAAAGAGTTTGTTAGCAAATTGCAAGAGATGTTTGATCAATTATCAGGGCCTGTTGTTTTGATTTGTGGACAAAACAAAGTGGAAACTGGGTCAAAAGAAAAGGAGAAATTTGTAAGTTTCGGTTGCATCTCCTCTGTGCTCAACAGGGGTGGTGCTTCAGTATCTGTATCCTGTCTCCAATTGTCGCTCTTATTTGCTGGACACAAAATGATACTTCTATGTGTAACTTTTCCCTTTTGGTTTTCAACAGACAATGATACTTCCAAATTTGGGCCGTTTAGCTAAGTTGGTAATCTTCATGATCTCTGAACTCTTTTGCTTTGAAGTTATACTTCTATATGTGTAAACATTTTATCTGGCATGTTTGTCGACTTAGCTCGCTTCGTGATCTCTTGTAGTTTAGGACTTTCAAGTGTTTTATGTGTTTCTGCTGATGGTTCTGGAAAAGAAGTTTCATATATCAGAAGTTGTATGCTTAATATCTAGCTTAATGCATTCACAGTTGACAAATAGTATGGCAATGTGATTTGGAAGATTAAGATTTCGGAAATATTATCAAACTAGCTTCTGTGCATGTGTGCCTTAGGACATCTTTAGTGAACTGTTTCTGACAAAAAAAATCAAATTTGATTTAGGAAAAAGATAGATAGTTTGATGTAACGATAAAACTTGTTAGAAGTACAGTTGGCTTGCAAATGTGAAGTAATTGAATCATGTCGACATTTCAAATAAAATGCATTCAGAATCTGGGTTGTTACTTTCATGAAGATGCAGATATAAGGACATTGATAACTACTAACTAATCTGCATACTATTTTACTGATAACCTATAATGTGTTAGTATTTTTCTCTGAACTCTGGATATCGAATTGTGGAGTAGTTTAACTGTTTAGTTGACATCTTTTGGTCTGGATATCGAATTGTTAGTTTATATTGGTTCTCCCCATAAGTCAAATTAATCCTTGCATTTCCACAGGAATAATATTCTTGATATGTTATAAGGATTTTTGTTTTTCAGCCTTTTCCTTTGAAGAGACTTACAGAGGAATTAAAATCCACTAAGCGATCTGATGAGGATGAAATATATAAGTTATTCACCAATGTGATGTGTTTACATCCCCCAAAGGTAAATTTTTATCAGCTCGTATTTCTAGGAATCCATTTCTTGTTGAGGTTTCTGCATTTTTAGCTTTGAATAAATATTCTTTGTTTGTTAACTAAGACCAGTTATTTACTAGAGTTGCCCTTCTGTTGACGTGAATTGGCTCGATTAACGAAGCAATTGTGACATAGATTTTCTTCCAATGCTCAATTCCTTGTCTTAAATCTCTCTCCACTTGGCCATCGTATACTTTTTTTCTTAACAAACACTGCTCTAAACAGTATGAATGGTTGTTTGCCTCCATTTGCAATACGAAACCTTAGACATGCTAAAGTACTGGCACACTATTAATCAACTAGACATGCTCATGGGAAAAAATACGAAGAAGTGGGGTTTATCTGTTATTATTTGAAGTTATGAAACAATTTGGTATAGCCGGTTAACTTTGCAATGTTATATCATAATTGCAGGAGGATGATCTCTTGAGGGTATTCAATAAACAGATCGAAGAAGACAGGAGAATAGTGATAACTCGAAGCAACCTAAGTGAAATGCATAAGGTACATCCACAATTTTGTTGTGATGTTATGTTGGTTATATCCTTTTTTAACTGTTATAGATCGATTCGTATACATTCTGCAACAACCCTTTTTTTTGATAAAACGATTATATCTCCATCAGTATACCTGCTAATACCCCAAACCTTAGCGTACTTAGTATTGGGGCCACAGAGATATGTTTTTTTGACTCGCACTGAAAAACCAGCCCTTCTATTTATTGTAATACATAAAGATGATGCATTGTATTTTCTGAGGTATCTATGTATATATATATATATTATGTATTAAGGATTACCAAATTCTATTTATTCATTTCAGGTTCTTGAGGAGCACAACTTGTCATGCATGGACTTGTTGAATGTAAACACTGATGGCGTGATATTGACAAAACAGAGTAAGAATGTTCATCTCTACGACCATGTTAAATGTATACATGGCACTGCTATATCAAAAGACTACTCGTTTCTTTTCAATCCTATAGATTCTTCGCTGCATTTAAATATTAGAACTTTCCTGTGTCAATTGTGATGTGAGGGAGTTACAAATTCCTTTTCAAGAGTGGTTGTGTTTCTTGCCCACACATCCTGGGTCAAGATGGAAATTTTCAAGTGGTGAAGTAGCGTTCGAATGAATATTGCTCATATATACAATGCTCTCTGCTATCCAGATCCAAGTATTGCATCTGGGCAATAGCAGTTTCATGTTAAAATACAAAGAAAATACAAGCATCGTGTCGAGTTAGAATTAAATAAAAATTCTGTCTATTTGAACTACAAGTACATTAGAGTTTATAGTAGATGTATTTGCTTCGTGCATGGAGGCATATATAGGTAGGTTTGCTGGAGGTCTTCAAAGGAAGGAGACAGGGTTACCTGTTGTTTCACCGCGTATCTATTTCTGTCATCAGGTTTAACCAAAGCGTTCTAGTTACTGAAACGAACTAGATTTTCTTGTGTCATTTGCTAAGCCAGATTGCGAAGTACAATTCCAAAGTTTTTGACCTTAATTCCAAGAAATCCTGCAAGGAATTGGCAGTGCCTTTCAGTCTGACAGGGATATTACAAGTTAGTAATCTTTGTCAATAACATCTAAATTACAGTTGTACGATGGATAAGATTATCTCCATTTGAAGATCCATGACTACATAACAAGATGCCAATATGCTGTGCTCTTTTACCTTGTCCCTTGATCTCTTTTGGGCTTCCTATAGGGGTCAGTGTAGAAAGAAGTGCACAATATCGTTTACAACTAAGATATTTACTGCAAAGGACACTCCATGGTTAGCTGCTCATACAAAAGAGTAATAGTACATCAGACTGACTATAAAAAGGGGTTTTAGACAATTGTTGGCTTTTGTCTTAACATTTGGCTTTGGGACTATGGAAGCAATCTTTACTGCAGTCTTGTGACAGTATTATTCTCTTCTTGGGAACACTATTTCATTTTCAGATGATGCATTCTGTCATCTTTATAAACGAGATAGATCGGAATTCGCCCATCTTTTAATTTAACAATGAGGTGATGTGTTAACTATTTAACTCTGATACCGAGAATAATCATTTTGCTATGTGAGTGAAGTATGGCAAAATTTTGTGTTCTTTGTTTGTGTGTGTAAATGTTGCAAGCCATGACATAGATGGTAGTATAGTAAGTAATGCAGTTTTCACGTCAAGCATTGGCAAAGAAAACTAACTTTTCAAGCATTTCAGTTCTGTTCTTGTTATAGTGACTCTAATATCCATGTGTAATTCCATTTTGCTTATGGATTACAGAAGCAGAGAAGGTTGTAGGCTGGGCCAAAAGTCATTACCTTTCCTCATGTCTCCTTCCTTCAGTTAAGGGGGACAGGTTGCAGGTGCCTCGTGAGAGGTAATTATCTATGCATTTGTGGTTATCGGATTGAATCAACTTTCATTTACTCAAGTTGAGTGCTGTAATTGTCACGTGTAGCTTTGAACTTGCAATTTTGAGGCTGAAGGAGCAGGAATCAGCGTCCAAGAAGCCTTCACAGAGTTTAAAGGTTTTCATCTTTTATTACTATTATCACCCAAATTCTTTCTATATCATTTCTGATTATATTGAAGAAACAATTTGTTGCAGAATCTTGCTAAGGATGAGTATGAGACCAACTTTGTTTCAGCAGTAGTTCCTCCTGGCGAGATTGGTGTCAAATTTGATGACGTTGGTGCCCTTGAAGACGTGAAAAAGGCATTGAATGAACTTGTGATTCTCCCTATGCAGAGGCCTGAGCTTTTCTCCCGTGGAAATTTGCTAAGGGTAACTTATTGTTATATGTAGTATGCAATTATTCCATTTTATTGTCCCTCCGAATCTCAAACATGCTTTTCTCTTCAGCCTTGCAAAGGGATATTACTTTTTGGTCCCCCAGGAACTGGAAAAACCCTTCTTGCAAAAGCACTTGCAACTGAAGCTGGTGCTAATTTTATCAGCATTACCGGTTCAACACTTACATCTAAGGTGAGTTTGCATTCTGACCTTTTTACACTTATAATGTTGTCGAGATTACTTTCAGCTGTTAAATAGGCCCTGCTCACAAATATTAGCTGATGGTAGCTCATTAATATGGTCATAATGGATTGACCTGTAGCCTTAATAATTAATTTGTACTAATGTTTAGTTTGCTAATCTATCACAACTTTTTATTCTAAGTTTAGCCAACATTGCTGCTAGTGTGATTAAGTTAGACAAGAAAAATTAAGTAATAGGGTTGAATGGTTGATATCAAAGAGAAGTGCATTTCTCATTCTGTCTATCATCATTTAATTCTTATTACATTGCTAACATTTTTTTATTCGCTTCTAATGCAGTGGTTTGGTGATGCTGAAAAACTTACTAAAGCTCTCTTCTCTTTTGCAAGCAAGCTGGCTCCTGTAATTATTTTTGTCGATGAGGTGAGACCTCCATTATTTGTGTTTCTCTTTCTAATTGCGGTGTTTCTTTCTTTCTAATTGAGTTTCCCGTCCTTAACTAACTGCAAAGTGCAAAGTGCAAAGTGAACTACATCCATGGTCTTTAGTTTATGCTGAAGTTCTACATTTTACACAAAAACTGTATGATGAAATTAACTTTCAAGTTGATGTGTTTAGCTTTAATTTAAAATCTATGGCACCTTCCTAGCTATTGCTAGAGAAGAATATTTGCATTGAAATTGTAGTATTTAAGCATTCAACTACCGTTGGCGAGTCAAGAGTTATAGAAGTTTTAATGTTATAGAGGAACATTCATGAAACAGGTTAGCTATAAAACTTACTTATAAAGGAAGTCGAGTATTGTATTGGCTGGTAAGGATCTACATAGATTAGTGATGATGTATTTTGTGGTTTTTGTCTATGTTAGTATAGATTAGCTGTTCCTTGTGTTAGTAATCGTGAGTTCAATAAACCTGGTGTAAAGACGTTTCCAATTTTTATTAGCATATACAGTCATTACCACCTAAGCATTCTTTAGAAGCTTTGCAGAATCTGTGGATTTATCACAAGTGACCAAGCACAATAGTTTCGTGCTTTCCGTTTCCTTTCAGGAGAAAGGATGGGGGAATTGGGGAGAGAAAAGTAAAAACAATAAAAAATTCTCATTTTGGCTTTTTAATTAATTTTACTTGTACACCGTGCTTGTGAGTGCAGGTTGATAGCTTGCTCGGTGCTCGTGGTGGTGCTTTCGAGCACGAGGCAACCAGAAGAATGCGAAATGAGTTTATGGCTGCTTGGGATGGTTTGAGGTCGAAAGACAGCCAGAGAATTCTTATCCTCGGTGCTACAAATAGGCCATTTGACCTCGACGATGCTGTCATTCGCCGTTTACCAAGAAGGTAACCTTTTTATTTTTTATTTTTAATGGCGAGTTAATATTGTCTGACATACTCGTTGCCAAATGTTTGTTACATCTCTGTAAAAAGAGAAGATAAACTGGGATGCATAGACTGCCTTTCTGACAGAATTTGTTTTGGTTGATTTTAGGATATACGTGGACCTGCCAGATGCGCAAAATCGTCTGAAGATACTGAAGATAATTCTAGCTCGAGAAAATTTGGAACCAGAGTTTTCTTTCGAACAACTTGCAAATGCTACCGAAGGTTATTCGGGGAGCGATCTGAAGGTGATGCATCCAGTTTCATACTCTGGAGACAAATGATCTATACTCGTGTCGAAACTACTTTGATTTTGATTTTGATTTTTTGGGTTTGCAGAACCTTTGTGTTGCTGCAGCATATAGACCTGTCCAAGAATTGCTGGAAGAGGAAATTAAGGTGAACACTTTGGAGTCTTGATTATTATAATTTCCAAATTTTGCATTTCATCAAACGATCAATATTCCTTCCCTCTTCAGATTTTGTTCCTCAAACCATAAGTCCGCCATATCTTAATTCATTACAGTCGAGATATATAAGCATTTTGTCCTTGAACCATTTATGATCTGCCTTCTCTTTGTGCTAACAAAGATATGGCCAATCAATGAAATCTTTCGTTGATATCTTTAAATTTTCACTCCTTTTTCAAAAGGAAGATAGGATAGTAAAGTTGGGAAAATTCCACGAAAGCCCGTAACCCTGTCTTACAAAATGCGTCATAATAGACACAAGGAAACAAATGCATAAATTCAGTTAAACACAGCCTCAATTGTTAAATGTTTTCTCAAATTTGAGTATGTATTTCTTCTTAGCATCTGCATTTGTGTTTTCTCCTTACAGGGTGACAGAATCCATGGAGTTCCAGCTTTAAGATCACTCAAGGTGGAAGATTTTACTCATTCTAAAGCCAAGGTAAACTCTATGAAATGATATCAAGCTAAAAAGAAATATTTGTATACTTGGGACAAATTTGTAGTGTGGTTTTATCAGTAACTAAACCCTCTTTTCAGGGAAATTAGTTTGATACATTATGATTAATTTTAAGTGCATATTTCATTACCGTTTATAGGTGGGACCATCAGTTGCATATGATGCGGCTAGTATGAATGAGCTGAGAAAATGGAACGACCAATATGGTGAAGGAGGAAGCAGGAGAAAATCGCCATTTGGTTTTTGATACTTCTACTCTTCTAGCATCTCAATACTCAGACGATTTTGTTTTGTTTCCAATACTAAGTCAAGAGGTTCGAAACAGTTGTACCTGCGAGGTCAAAATTCTCTCTCTCCCCCCCTTTTTTTTTTCTCCCTATGACAGAAATCCGAGAGAGCCTCTCGTTTACACAATTTGAAGTGGTAGGTCTCCTAAATTAATAGGCATAGAAGAAACATGCTAATTTGCAGTTGTATCTTTAGAATAGTAACTTAAATCACCCTTTCTTGATTGTAAATGATCTTCATGGTCCATTTAAGCTGAGTTTACCAGTTATTACTCGAATTAGAAATCTTGAAGTTATATTTGATATCATTACATTCAGTTGGTATCAATTTCTTTTTTAACGCGAATAATGCAATAATGCTGATGGAAGATGTGTGACGAATTTCTCGAAATGTTTTGGCTGTAATTGCTTAATTGCACGTAAAAGGATCCGTAAGTTTGTCGTATCAGAAATTTCCTTTTGAATGGTACATTTTGTAACCCTGAGTGAGCAAAAAACTTTATTTGTATTCGCTGTTATACTCGAGCAAATAATATGTATAACCAATTTCCGTTAGGAGAGTTGTATCTAGCATTGACTACTCTCTGGTTTGAGTACTTGAATTTTTGATGATATTTGCTATGCTATCCGGGTTTTTCTTGTTTCACAAATTTTTTTCAAACTTTACTTACAATCACTGACTTCTAATTTTCAAAGTTTTTGCAAATACCCGCACAACTATGCTATCAGCTTCTATATATGATCTATTAGTCAAAACAAAAATATACAAGTAGGGATGACGATTTACTCAACTTGGCATGAGTTCCAGCTTTAAGATCAATTACAAAAATGCCACTAAAATAATTACCACACTGCCATTTATCAGTAATTACAGAACGACCATTCACCAAATAATTACAAAGCTGCCACTCAATAACAATTACAGAGCATCTCCACTGATCAGGGAAATACATAATTGCCACTCAAAAGTAATTACATAACTGCCACTCAATAGTAGATACATAACTGCGACTCATAACTCATAAGTAGTTACAAAACTAGTCGGGGTGGCAACTTAATCAACTTGGGACCGGTTCCGCTCCGGATGCATGTGGATTTGTCGGAAAAAAAAAATTGAGTCGAAAATCAACCTATATGAATGAATTTAAAATGGATCGAACTTGGACCGATCCGGATCGGATCCACATGGATCCATTGCCTCTTTAACTCAACTTATATAGTTTAGTATCTCAACTTACAAGGTTGAATACTCAACTAATGTGGTTTAAAATTCATTATACTCAATCCTGACACTTACACATATTCACGCTCACATACACATACACACACTCCAACATACTTTCCGCACAACACACACTCACACACACACACACACTCCAACACACTTTTGACACACATAGGTATGGTTAGTGCTCCTTAGTATTATCTTTTGCCATTTTCTTCTCTTAACTTTTTATTGAACTAAAAGTAGAGAGAGAGAGAGAGAGAGAGAGAGAGAGAGAGAGAGTTGTCTTATTAACGACGGCTGAATGAGCGTTGCAGACGACGATGGAGGCAGCGACGAAGAAAGCGAATGAGAAGTGGTGATCGGTTGAGATTTGACGACTTGAGAATTGTGAAAGATCCAATTTTTAAAAGTTGTCAACTTAGTCCGGTCCAATTTATTCGTAACTAGATTTAATGCAAATCGGATACATAAAAATCGAATCGAATATGGTTAGATCCATAGAACCAAAACCAATTTGCCAACCGCCCATCCCTATATATGAGTATCATACAAGGTTTGTGGGTCAACCTTTTTTGTTAAATTCTTTGCCCCCAAAAGGACCTTAATAATAAGGTCCAACAAGCAGTTGACCACTTGACTATATTAAAACGACCCTTTATGACAAAAACAAAAACCTCGTAGCCGCCGTTGTTTTAGGCTTTTACCCTCAACCCCAAAACTATATAGAAATCCCATTTCCAACCCTTTCTCCGTACCACAATCCAACAAATGAACTTCCATAAATTACAAAAACCACCCACAAATATTTCATAAATTGACAAAATCACCCCCACCACCCCTCTTTTAGATCTCATCTTCTAAACTCTCGGCTCCAACTCCCAAGTAACACTTCTTCTTCTTCCTCGCTCCGGCCACACAGCTTCAGCATCCAAAATCAATGGCTATTCCTCGTAGAAAAGGCAAGTTAATCTTCGTAATTACTGTTTCTCTGCTTATTTCAGATTTTTTCGTTTTCGTCCCACGTTTTTCTTCTTGCCTTGTTCTTGCATCACCACCGCATTCGAACTCAATAATCGAAACCCACAGCGGAAACGCAAACCCAATTGAGGAAAATCTGCCCGACCAAACCCTAGATTCCGTCTTGCTGAAACAACAGCAGCTCCAATTAGATAAATTCGAAGAATTAGTTCAAAACCTCACCCACCTCATTTCTAGGTTAGAATCCCATTTTTCCGACGCCCCAGAAAAAATGAAGAAGAACCCCCCTTTGTTATCTCCCTCTCACCACGAATCAAACGACGCCGTTTTGATAGAAGAAGAAAAACAAGTTCCAGTTAAAGAAGAGCGTTTAAAGGAGGAAGGACAAGTGAGTGGGTCAATGTTGGTTACCAAGTACAACTCGTTCTGGTCGGAGCGGTTTCAATTCGTGTCGGCGGTGAAATTGAGCTCCACCCCGACGTGCGTGAACGTCTTGCCGTATCGGGATTTCGAGGGTATGAGCAAATACTTCGCCGTGGGCGACAACAACGGCAAACTGTACATCTTCGTCCGGAGCGGCGACATTTCCCTCGAGTTCAACGCGTTCCCCGAGGCGTCGGATCCGTCTCCGATCACGGCCATGGTGTCTTATCTCTCCCTCTACAAGAACGAGACCACGATCGTGACCGGCCACGAAAACGGGGCTATAGCGACCCACCGAGTTTGGGAGACGATGCTCAACAACGGCGACGAGTGGAGCTCTCTCCACTTTGAGAGGGCCGCGAGATTCGAAACCCCCGATTCAGGGGGCGGTGGCCCCCGCATTGGCCTTCTAGAAGTTCACCATGTCGGTAGGAAGAAATACATTCTCGCATCGGATAACGGCGGGAAAATAACCGTTTTCAAAGAAAACGGGGCGCTCCATGGATCTGTTACCCCCACTAGAAAACCCGTTGCTTTCTTGAAACAAAGACTACTGTTTCTCACCGAGAACGGGGCGGGCTCGTTGGATTTGCGGACCATGAAGTTGAAGGAGACCGAATGCGAGGGCTTGAACAATTCTTTCGCCCGGAATTACGTTTTCGACACTACGGACCGTTCGAAGGCGTACGGCTTCACTTCGGACGGTGATTTGACCCACACGTTATTGTTGGGCGATGTAATGAACTTCAAGTGTCGTGTTAGGTCGAAAAGGAAGCTCGATCTCGAAGAGCCAATGGCTTTACAAGCAATCAAAGGCTACTTGCTTATTGCTAATAAAGAGAAGGTTCTTGTGTACAACGTCTCGTCTCAGAATTACGTTAGGGTTGGAGGTGGGCTGAGGCTTTTATTCTCTGCAGGCCTCGACGAAATTATAGCGTCATTCTTGAATCAACAAGTTGTTGATGTGAGTATAGAGAAGGGTGTATCTACGATACCGTTGATCACGAGTGATTACGAGAAGCATGTGATTATAAGTCTTGGAAATGGGTACGTCGCCATGTACCGTTCGAACCTACCCGTTTTCAAGAACGAGTTTAGTAGCATAATGTGGACGAGCCCCGTTTTGTTTTTCGTTCTCTTCTTGTTCGGTGCGTGGCATTTTTTCGCAAACAAGAAGGAGGCGCTCACCTCGTGGGGCCCGGCGGACGACCCTTTTGGTGCTTCTTCCGGGTCTGTTACGGGTGGGGCTCCGGAAGCTTCTAGAAGCTCAGAGATTATGGAGATGAGAGGCGGCGGTGTTGGCGGTGGCGGTGGGCTGAGGGGTTCTTCTTCGAGGTACGTTTCTCCACCTCGGTACTCTGGCGGTGATGCCCGTTTTAGGGCGGCGTCGGATTTGAAGTTTAGGGGGTCGAACGTTGAATCGGGAGGCGTTTCGAAGAGGAGGGATGGCCTTTTCGTAAATAGTCAAGTTGCTGATGATAGTAATTGATTGACAGGTTTGTTTTCGTTTGTTTTCCCACGTTTGTTGTAGTTTAATAACTTGTGTTTTTGTAACATTATTATAGCGAAAAAAGAAACAAAATAATTGGGAAATCTAAAGCAGTTTTTTTTTTTTCTTCTTTTCCTTCAAAAATTTTAATCTTATAATGTGATTTTAATTACTACAGGTAAAATAATGGGCTTATGTCTTTTTTTATTGCATGCTAAAAAAAATTCAAGAATGGTTTAAATATGTAATATACATAAGATTTTGAATGCTATGTTACATGAACTCATGATCCTAGTATATGTTTTTTTCTGTGTGTGTGTATATATATATACACATGCACATCTGTATTTATGTATATATTTATACATTTGCTTCTTACACTATTATGACATGTATTCCCATTCTTGGGAAAGATTGCTATATTATGCAGTTAAACCTCTATAATTTAATATCGGACATCTTACTAATTAATTAAATAGGTAGTCAAGAACTAATCTAATCCAATTTAATTCAGTTAATCCGATTCATGTAACCGAATGAGGCCGATGAAAAATTGAATTTAGGCCCATCAGGCCTATTGGACTCAATTTGGGCCTCCACTACTCGTATTCCAATTTGGGCTATTAGTTTAGTTTGAGTTGATTCTTGATCAAAATTTGAGTTGATACTTGATCAAAATATATATATGGATTTAATAAAACAATTTTAGGTCTCTCTCTCTCTCTCTCATATAAATATATGGGGCAAATTACGGCCACCCCTGAGGGTAAGGTTAAATTAAAAAAAAAACCTCTCTTGTTTGGACAATTACATCTACTGTTCAACTATGTATTTATCGTCTTGTAAAAAAATCCCACATTCAGTAGGTAAGTTTGATATTGTAAATATGAACGTGTAAGACAATACATAGTTAAGAGAATAATTGCAATTACCCAAACATTATGGGATTTTTTTCATAATTTGACTGTATTTTAGGGGTCGCCGTAATTTGACCAAGAATATATCATTGTTATATACACTTATTACTATATCCATTATGTTGTCAATTCGATGTGCTTATGTAATTAGATCTTTTATTCATGTATTAGGAATTTGAATTTATAAATAGATGAAAATTAAAGAAAATTCAAAACACAAGTTGAGACTAGAGGACAAGAAAAATGAGATGGTAATAAAATTTGGAGTGTAGTGTAAATACTAACTTTGGTGTGGATAAAAAGGATTCTGTCCACCCACCGACCCTCTTAGATTCGTCAATTAATTTCGAAGAATATTTCATTTTTTTGTTGTTTGTCCTTTTTTTATTTATTTAATTAATTAATTAATTAATTATAATTAGTTTATTTATTTTATTTTTTATTTTGTCGCCCGCACTCACCGCTACAACCACATTCAATTCGCGCATGCGTATTCACACAATTAAGTAATTCACTATTTGTTTCGATTATGACCTCCATTTTGTCTTTAAATAAGTATTTTTTGTTTGAATAAGTAAATGGAATAAATAAATGTCAAGATAATTTATCATCTAATAAAATTTGAGTTATTTTATTTATAGAAAAACAATGCAAGCATCAAGAATATTTTAATGATTGACTAACAATTAATTATTATTTACTGATTATTCTCCTCCATTTTTCACAATAACTGTAACTTTAAAGAAATATTTTTGTTCCATATTATTTGTTCGTTAGTTTTGAGTAGTTTCGATATTATATTAAATATATTTTTTTTATTTTCCTGTTTTACCCTTATTAATTCAACTTTAAATATTAACCCTCTCTTATAATTTATTACCTTTAAACAGATGAAACATTGTATAATAGTATTCCCAATTCTTGATATTTCGATCAATAATATAATTATTTTTATCAATAATACATAATTCTTTTTACCAATAATACATAATGTTCTCTACACAATTACAAAATTTCATCTATGGATTAATTATCCTTAACTCCTTGATTATCTTTATCTTTTAGTTGGTCTTGGTCTTCACATATAGATAATACACGTGGGGAAGCGTGCCCCGACATGATTAATTAATTATTTTACAGGTAAGCATTCACATTCAACAAACATAATTGCCAATCCCAATCCTGATTATTATTGGTACTTCCTCGATCCCATATTAAGAAACTAACTAAATAAAAATATGCATAGTTATAGCAAAATAATATACTTCCTTTCCCATTATAATTGTCGTTTTATGCTAATTCACACATACTAAGAGAACTAAAAAATGTGTATGCATTCTAGAAAAATCATAATGAAATGACTAAAAAATTACTTTCATAAATGTTGTACCATTAATTCTCTCAAGAGTAGTAAGGGCATAATTGGAGAAAACACAAAATATACTTCATTTGAATCCTAAAGTGACAATTATTTTGCAATAAAAAATTTATCTAGAAAGACGAATAATATGGGAAGGAGAGAGTAGTAAATACTAAAATACCATCCTTATTAATTGTTTTTCATCTAACTAATTAAGAGTGATAAATGGTAAAAGAGAAAGAATAATGCAATTAATATTTTCTTGAATGCGTACAGTACAAATAATTAAGGATGAGGGAATAATTATGTTCAAAGTTCATATTGAATGAAGTATATTACTCCATCTGTTCCACAATAACTGTCTCTTTTTAAAAATATTTTTGTTCCATATTATCTGTCACTTTAGATTTCTAATACTGCATTAAATGCATTTTTCCTGTTTTAACCTTATTAATGAAACTCTATTCATTAATTTTTCCTTATAAATTATTAAATATTAAAGGTTGTTTTAGTCATTTTCATATGATTTTTCTAAAATTAAGATATATTTATGGGGTAATCACAAAAAAACCCATGACAAGGGCACTTAATTAAAAGAGGGACATTCAATTTTTTTGTCTTTCAAATAAATCCACCCCATTCAAACTTATTTGCAAATAAGGAAAATCCTTTTATATATACCAAAATTACCCCCAGTTCATTGAAACCCAATTCAACTCCAATTTCATGATTTACACCCCAATTTAGCCCAATTTCATCAATTAACCAATTTTAACCCTAATTTCAATTTTGACCCCAATTTTAACCCTAATTCTTATCAATTCCACCCATTATGCTCTAACTTCTTAAATATTACACATTGACCCCGGATTAAACAAATATATCACATTAACACCCAAAACTTTTTTTTCAGAAAATAAATTTTTTTTCTGAAATATTTTTTTTCCGGCCAGATTCCGGCGTTGACTTTTTTTTTTTTTTTTTTTTTTTTGAATTTTTGTTTTCCTGAAATTTTTTCCGGCCGGTGACTGCCGGGTCTCCGGCGTTGACTTTTTTTTTTTTAATAATTTTTTTTTTCTTAAAAAAAATATTTTAATTAATTTTACTGTCTTGGCTGCTAAATTACTGTCTCCGGCAGCTATTTAACTGCCGGAGACAGTAATTTAACTGTCAATTGACTGTTTTTTTTTTTTTTTTTTTTCCTTCAAAAATATTTTAATTAATATTACTGTATTCATTGCTAAATTACTGTCTTCAGCAGTTATTTAACTGTCGGAGACAGTAATTTAACTGTTAATTGACTTTTTTTATTCTTAAAAAAAATATTTTTAATTAATATTACTGTATTCGTTGCTAAATTACTGTCTCCAGCAGTTATTTAACTGTCGGAGACAGTAATTTAACTGTTCATTGACTTTTTTATTCTTAAAAAAATATTTTTAATTAATATTACTGTATTCGTTGCTAAATTACTGTCTCCAGCAGTTATTTAACTGTCGGAGACAGTAATTTAACTGTTAATTGACTTTTTTTTTTTTATTTTTTTCCTTACAAAAAAATTTATTTTAATTAATATTACTGTCTTGGATGTTAAATTACTGTCTCCAACAGTAATTTAACTGTCTTAGACAATAATATTAATAATATTACTGTTCGGAAAAATAATATTAATAATATTACTGTCCCAAACAGTAATATTACTGTCTGAGACAGTAATTTAGTAGTCAAGACAGTAATATTAATTAAAATATTTTTTTTATAAGAAAAAACAATAAAAAAAAATAAAAAGTCAACGCCGGAGACCGGCGGTCAACGGTGGTTGACCGGCCGGAAAAAAAATTCAGGAAAAAAAAAATGTCAAAAAAAAAAAAAAGAAAAAAAGTCACGGCACACGACACGCTATCGAACGTGCTAAC